ACCCACTCAATGGATGTATGTGACTGATCTCACAACATTTCTATTTATCAAATACAATCCATACATGTGTTCTGCGTTTCTAAAAAAAAAGGAAGACTTTCCCACGTACATCTTTCTCCATATCACTAACATGTAATATCAAAGCCCCAAACTGACACTTGAATGACAGCATTAACTCTTCAGTTACTGCTGACTGGAATGGGGAGGACTATTACAGAGATCTCTGCAGATAGCAGGTGGAAAGCATTGCTGTGGGGAAGGAAAGGAAGAAGGAAGGAGAGAGGAGATGTTCTAGGACAGTGGGGAGGGAGAAAGATGGAGATAGGAATAGGCAGGGAAATAGAGAAAAATGAAATGGTAGAGCGTGTGTATTTTCTAACAGTAATATTGGATATGAGAAATAAATGGATACGGGGAATAAAGAACATTATCTGCAATTGTTCTGTTTCTGATCATCGTGCTAGCCTCCCACTGATATGGCTGAGATACCTCCTCTGAGCTGAGTGCACATTATTTGTACTTCAACTCACAGACTGGCATCAGAGCACGAGTAGGGCCTTTCATGCAGAATAAATCTGACATTCTTCCTTTCGATCTCTGTTTAGCATTTGAGGAAAAAAAAACCAAACTTTTTCATAAATATGTACAGGACATGCCAAGATGAATCTGCCTTCAGAATAGCATTTTGGTGGGACTGCACTGCTGCAATTCAAAGCAGAATTTGGCCTTTGACTCTAATTGCTCCCAACTCTAGAAGTACCGAATTGATTTTATTCAGACATGAACTGTTTTCTCCTTCATCACCGAGGTCTATAAAACAAGGCGAGTTCAAATTTCCTAGCATCAGCTCTTCTTGAGTTATGAGGGCAGAGAAGCTGCAACCGGAACAAATAGGAGTAGCTGGTTTCTCTTCATGCCCACATATCATAAAAACAGCCAAGCTGATTTTGCTGAGAGTTCTCAAAAATATTCACCTTTAGGCTGGAGTCAAGCCTGAGAAGTACCTTGCCCCACCTGAGGAATGTGCTTTGGGAAATTTGGTGCAGCTGAAAAATGGAGGGGAGCCTGGAAACAGAAACTGAGCTGAAGCTGTAATTGTGGTTTACTTTCACAGGACTAATAAACAATTCTCAATTCTTGGCCATAAATTAGCTTTGTAAGGATGCAACTTGTTCCTGAGTGGGCCTGTGGCTTTCTCCTTTCCTAGAAGTGACAGTTTTGCTCCAAGATCACATAATCATAGGCTGTTTGGGGTGATTTTAATGTGTTTCATATGTTTGGCAGACACAACTCTGCCATGATGACCACTGGGAACATCTGCATGGCTTTAGCCAGCTCCTCACTCCCCGCCAGCTTCAGCAGAGCTCTCTTTCAGGTTCAGCCTCGTAGCCAGAACCACACGAGCTGCTGCTAAGCCTGTGCTGTGGTTTTATCATCACCCAACACAATGATGGCTTTTACATCAAGACACGTCTTGATCCTATCACTCCTTCAGGCACTGCAGGGACACTGCAGTTGTTGTGACTTGCTAACCCATTCATTTTTCAAGAAACATTTGAGCCCACGCTCATCTTCTGCAACTTTGGAAAGAGCAAAATAGATCTATTAAAATTTGAGCCTGTGGAAGCAAAAGCCCAGGTCTGTCTGCTCATAATGGAGGATGCTGCTTCAAATAGGAATTTAAGCTTGGTGCCTAAAAACTGACCTCCTTTGTTGCACATGATGCACAGAATAGCAGCAAAGGATGTTTTGGCTCTAGATGTTCTTGTTTGGCTCAAAAATATTCGCACTTTAAAATGTTCTGAGCATCACGGCACGCACATCCTTAGCCAAAGGCACTGATTACAGAACACCATATATGCTACCCTGCTTCATGTGTCACTCCCAGGACAGGGAGTCTCCAGCAGAGCGTGCAGCCACTGAAGATATCACATGGGGCCACCATGTGAAGACATGTCATTACTCAGTTGTCACGCTGTCAAATGCTGCAAGCACTCACTGCTCTAGTGAGCCATGAATGACTCGGTTTGATCCTGATCAAGCTCTTCTGGCAGACACAGGAATACTGAGGCAAAAGTGCCCATACCAAAGGATGCTGAGTTTTGGGGGCAATCAAGGCCAAGTACTGTGGGCAGAAGACAGCATTTCCTCAAGGACCCAGGTATGTGCCCTGCTGTTTTTGCTTCACGCTGCTGAGACAGAAAGCTGGCACAGTCCCCTGATGCTACAAGGAATCCCCACTGAGTTCATCCCCACACTAACACTCATAACGAGATGCAGGGGAGCAGGACCTGTCCTACGAGGCACCTGCCATGCACTGATATTGCAGAGATTACAGGAGCAGAGCTGAGAGCAGATTCTGACACACGGTCTTCTGTCTGATTTCAGAAGTTAACTGCAATAAGGAAGCGCTCCTGTTTGGAAATGAGTTACAGGATATGCATATTTATGGGGCTGTGCTACCCCAGGTGCACACATGCAACTCCCATTTAGCTGACGTGGGAATGCTGAGAGGCAGAGAGACAAATTAGGAGGATGTTTACCACTCAGCAAAAATACAGCATTCTTATTTAAAAATAATATGACAATGCTATTTCTAAAGCATCTGCAACACAAGGTTTTGCTGTCCTTCACACCAAATGAGTTACATTCAGGTGACAGGTGACCCTGTGCTTCTCCCTGGCTTCCCTTTGAGAGTGGGGTTTCGTACAGACTCAGCTGGCTGGGGTCTGCATGTGGAGCAGCTCTCAGCAGACCTGGGGGTGCTGCTGCTGCTTACAGCAGCTCAGGAATGAATGATGCCTGTGGTGTAGGGAGCACTGATGTACTTGAGGCTAATTTATTTTACGGATCCACTTCCCAAACACATAGTTAATGAGTACAGGATCTATAAACTACAGACCTCAAGCATGCCCCGTTGTGTCAAACACCAAGTGACTGTGATGAGGTAGGACCTCACGTGGCAGCTTCTTTCTTCGTAAGGCAGCACAGAGCGGCATGCGAAGGAACAGGTGGGATTTGACATCAGAACAAAGAGACTTGAAAAGAAACACACCCAAGCCCATACGCCAGCCAAGCTGCCTTGCTTGCCCCTGCCTTCCTAGGAGCCACTGAATGAGCCTCCAGCAGATTCTGAGCAGATACTTGGAGGAGAGGAGCAGGCAGTTTGCAGCTCCCTGCAGATGCCATCACACATGGCACAGCAGCAGCACAGGAGGGCCCAGCAGCATGGCAAACCACCCCTGTCTCCCTTGTGCTATTTCTGTTCCACTGACGTGTAGAATACCCAGCTGACTGGCTCGCTGGTGGGACTTCTGGGATGCATATTCAAAAGGAGGAACATTTGCCTGCAGGTACAGAGAAGGGCAAATGGGGAGGGAGGGGGAAACAGTTGATTCACAGCAGTCACTGCAGAGCAGCAAACATCTGCATTAATTTTGCTCATCCCAACAGTACATTCATTATACCTTTCCATATACTGAATCCATAAGTGTGTATGTGCTGAGCCAGTGGACTGCCATAGCAAGCTGCAAATAATGAATGATGTATTACCTCTCTTATAATGGATTGGTTATTCCAGCTATACTTGCCTTGATGCAATGAAATAAATGACAGCAATTTTGCTAATACATGGATTTTCTGCTCTCCCCCTCCTTTCCAACAGGGCAGAAAGGTGTCCTTTAGCATTTAAAGCCATGCAGGAACACAATACTTATGATGGAAAGTGACTATAATGTAAGTATGCCATAACCGTAAGTAGCATCTGGTTAGAAAAGAAGCTGATATGAGGTATAAAGAAGATATTTTACACATGACAGAGGTAATAAATCTGCAGTTTGCTGGAGGATTTAGATCCAACTGGAGATAAATTAATTGTGGATGTTTTTAAAGTATGGTATAGCTCCATTAAGAAAGGACTCAGAGTTGGAAGTGTTCCTGGTTCAACTGGTGATATCACAGCTGTGTCACAGATGGATGCCAGCAATCAGTTTGCTGGTTCAGATGGGAAGTGCATTGCATGAGCAGTGTTGCTACATTCTCCATTAAAATGCAGACCCTGATTCAGTGGCAAAGAATGACAGAACCATGGCTGACTGCAGAGTGGTCCCTCAATGTCAGTGGGAAATGCAGAGGAAAGATACTATGGTGACATCTTCATAATAAGATTATTGCAGGAAGGAAACTGCCATGTTGAAGGAAGACAAGGACTATGCAATGACTGGGAATGCTGGTGAATGTCCAGGATGACTCTGAGTTCAATAAGATTCAGATTTCTTTAAGCTGCAGAGACTCAAGAGTCTGATCCTCAGGCCACCAGCATCTGTGGAAGGTTCTCCAGCAATCTAAAGCCTTAACTTAGGTCTCATTTTATACCTGTGCCCTGTTCTGTCTCTGCAGAACAGCAGTGGTTCAGACTGCCCTAATCCTTGTCAAAGGGACTAAACTTGCCCAGAAGTCAGCAGCCCCAAGTTACAAGGGTTCAGTAGAGCTGGATGCTGAGCCAGATGCTAACTGCTGCCTGCAGCCAGCTGCACTTCCTCCAGCTGCTGCAGCTCTCATCTTCTCTCAGAGCAGCAGCACCAGCCCTGGTGAGATGACAGCTCCTCCTCCTGCTTTCTCTTGGTTACTCATTTTCTAGCTCTCCCAATGCTTACTGGGGTTCTCAGTCCTCAGAGTGTATCAGTCCCAGCTGACAGCATCCCACAGTGAAGGTAATCACTCCTGATGCTTATCGTAATCACCAGTATTACTGTTTTTGGCTACAGATATTTTTTCCCCAATGAATGCTGACTTGCCTCTTTCCCTTCTGCCACTTTGCTTAAGTCACACGTGCCCTCAGAGGAAAACGTGGCAGCATCATGAACAAGAGCAGAGAGCTCTGTCGTAAGGAGAGCTGGGATGCAACGTGATTATCATGTTAACCGCTTCACTGCCCTTTGGATGCTTGGCTCACATTCAGCAAAGTGACATCAATACGGTGCTCAAGGCAAGTGCTGCTAGGCATCACATTCAACTAAAATGTCAAGAGGAGCCCTGGAGGCTGTGGGGACCCTTGTGGGATGTGGGGCTGGTCAGCCAAGTGCTGCAGAAACTACTGGGAGAGCTGAGAATTGCCTGGGAGGAGCATCGTGCCCAGCCAGGTCCACACTCGCTCAGTGACACATGCAGCACATTGCATGGGGATAACATCGTGTGATCTAAAAGAGGGGAGATTGAGATTGGATATAAAGAAGAACTTTATTATAAAGGTGGTGACGCACTGGCACAGGTTGCCCAGAGAGGTGGTGGATGCCCCATCCCTGGAGACATCCAAAGTCAAGCTGGATGGGGCTATGAGCACCTGATATAGCTGTAAGTATCCCTGTTCATTGCAGGGGAGTGGGACTAGGTGACCTTTTAAGGGTCCCTTCCAACTCAAGTGATTCTACAATTCTATGATTCTGGGATGATCTCTGGGAGGCAACCAAACTAAAGGATACATTAACAACTCTCTACAGCAAACATTAGGTAAAGCCAAAATATTAAATGCACTTTTGGCCTTGCCTTACTATTAGCCTTTTAGAGTAGACTAGATATTTAGACTAGATATTTAGATATAGACTAGATATTAGAAATAAATTCTTTACTGTGAGGGTTGTGAGACGCTGGAGCAGATTGCCCAGTGAGGCTGTGAATTCCTCCTGTGCAGAGGCATTCAAAGCCACGCTGAATGGGGCTTTGAGCAACCTGGTCTAGTAGGAGGTCTAGTGGGTACAGAGGCTTATAGCAGGGGAGTTGGAACTAGATGATCTTAAAGGTACCTTCCAACCCAAACCGTTTTATGATTCCCTTCTTGTGTCCTCAGCTTGGTAAATTAATTTTGATTTGTACCTTGAAGGCCAATTCAGACACTGATGAAACTGTGCCTTCTGTCTGCTAGCAACCAAGAGGCATGGATGGAACCCCCTATTCCAGTACTACCTGTGAGTTGTCATATCCCATATCCCATGTTGGACCTCAGCTACAGCAGGGCCAGGGCTTTGCTGGAAATGGCTTCTTCAGGCCTGACTGCAGTAGAGCCATGGCCAGAATCTTGCCCCTTTAGCAAATGAAGGTTCATTTCCTACACAGTCTATCTTTTGTCTACTCCTTAATCCATCAGTGAAGTTACAAAGTCCAATTTCCATGGCAACAGACTGTGAGGTCAGGGAGAAAGTATTATGCAGGATTGAGGATCTGAAGTGGATGTAAGGAAGGAAAGGATAAAATTACTTTAAAAATTAACAGTCATAGCAAAGTGAATAATGAGGGGGAAAAAAAAGACAGGTTAGATAATCTGCTCCTGGTGGGAAGACTCCTGGCATTTTTCAAGACAGCTGGTGCCAGCAAAACAGACCTTTGCGGAATCCCAGTTTGAGTTTTCGCTCCCTTTGAAGTCAACCACAACACCAACGGGGAGAAGATGTGAGTATCAAGCACTGCAGAGGAATTCCCAACAATCAGGAACATTTCTCAGCACCTGCTTTGCTGAGCAGGGATGCAACATGCAATGTTGGCCCCAGCCTTCAGTGAAAGAAAACCATCGCCTCCACAGATTGCAGCACATGGAGATTTCAGACATTTTTATTTCCAGAGAATGTGTCAATGTTTTTCCCTTAAATATCTGCTCACAACAATTGGGACCACAGCCTGCAGCTGTATCTAATTAGCAATTAGTTGTTCACACCTAGCACAGCCCTAAAGCTGGCAACCACATGGGTGCTGCCAGGAGTCCTGCACAACAACTAAGGAGAGAGGTAGGAATAGGCCTTTTTCTTGACAACATTCCCATTCATTTGCCGAAGCCTGAGGCTGGACAAATTGTCACGCAATTTCTTATTTTTCTGCAAGAAAGCTGGTAGTTCTCTCACATTTTAATAGGGTCTCCTGCTGTGCCGGGGACACAAAGCAGGAGCAGCTCCATGTGATGCCCTCGCCGTGCCATCACATCTTTCATGCTGCAGCATCTCCAAGGGGCTGCAGCCCCCTGCACACCATGACACCTACTGCATTTCCACCTTTGTTACCACCTTCCCCTTCTAGGGGATGATCCAGTACCTACAGTTCTCTGGAGATATGTAATTAAGCGTGTCGCCCCTCACCAGATGAAAGCTGCCAATTCATTATGCTAAGGGCTTGCTGCTTGTACCCCAGGATGTGTATTTCCCCCCAGTAAGTCTGCCTTCCTCCTTCCTGCTTGCTCAGCAGATGCTGCACATCAGAGACTGAAGCTTGGGGGTCTCTGCTTGCCCCCCAGAGGAGCTTTCTCTGTTGCTCAGGCAAAAAGGGAAGGCAGGTAGTGTCAGTCCTGAAAGCATGCTGGTGCTGCGAGGCGAGGGGGGAGCAGACACGAGGAAAAACCTCCAGCGCACATCTAGGATTTATAATTGTGACTCAAAGTATTGCTTTTTCCACTGCTTGATCTGAGAGCATATTTGAGTTGATCTGAATATCAAAGACATTCAGAAAGGCGGGGAAATAAAAAAGCAGGGGAGGAGGCACCAAGATGGTAGTGCAGATAGCCCGGGTTAAGGATGAATAGAGGGGACGTGCCTGGCCAGGAGGTACAGCTGCTTAGAGATGGTTATTTTTTCCTGCTTTATTTTCTCTAGTAAACATCTTATGGTCTATTCATAGGCTACACGTACTGTTTTCGATGACAGTGTTTCCTGATGGGTGACACTGCAGCTATATGACACAGCTTTGCCCTGAAGTACTATGGAGTAATATGTGCTGTAAGGTAGTTCCTCCAAACTGAACAAACTCCAAACAGAACAAATCCAGAGCTTGACTTGGCTTATCACACTGAGCCAGATAAAAGGATAGACAAAACCTGTGGGATGAAATGACACTCTACAAGCCTGAAAAGAGGAATGTATGTGCATGGTGGGACACAGCAGAGCTGCTGTGGTGTTTCTCATCCCCTTCACAGTGCGTGGCTGTAGGAAGGTGAATGTGCTCAGGTCCATAATACACAGGAGACGGTATGTTCATAGCTGCCCTGTAGAAGGAACATACAGAAGTGCTAATCGTGCCATTTGGCCTGACAGACCAGATCATCACTTCTTTTATTGGTATTTCCCTCTTCCAGCAAAATACTCCTCCTCTACAATGCCAGAAGAGCCTGGGAGGTATTAGGAGAGAGAATGCCAACTCCACAGCATGTTCCCCATCACTCTGGCTCTACATAAATCCTTCACTGGGTCACATACATGAATAAAAACCACAGCCTGCTTTTATTATCCAAGGTCCATCAGTAACAGATGACAGTGTTGTCACCAACAGGATGGCTGGATTGCCAATGGCTTAAAGGGAAATGCAGCTATAAAATCTTATTCATATGTATTGTATCTGTGTGTATAAATATCTATGTGCACCCTGATGTGTATGTGCATACAGATATGTATGCATATATAAACAGAAACCTACAATTACTATTTTCACACTCACAGGTTCTTAGAATGCTCCTACAATGTCATTAGCATCATTATTTTATTAATTCTATTTTCCTGCTGTCTTGAATTTAAACATAGCACATACGGTACGAAATGCACAATAACCAGTCTTCCTTTAATTCTGAGCTACGATTCCTCGCACTTTTCCCCATATGTTGTTTTGTGGGTTAGCTCTGGTGTGACTTCCTTCCCTTCCTTATTGATACAGAAATATTCTTGCTTCTGATTCCTTCATTGCTCCTATTGATTTCACACATTTCCTTCACATGATCACGGGTACTTACTGTTTTCACGATTTGCACATTTTCACCCATCTATAAAATGGCTCTCATACAAGTCAGTCAAAATCACATTCTGATTAAAAAAAAGACATTAACAAAGTCTTTTTTTTTTCCTTCTATCCAGCTTTCAGATCAGTTTTGCAATGACTTAACAAAATCTTGACTTGTTTACCTGTAGTTTCCAGGTTGGATTATAGTTGCATTTGGGGTTCTCTTTTTAGGATTTACTCCAAGCTTGGCAGCTCCTTAAAAGTTGTGTGCTCTTCTCACAACTTGTCATCTTCCATCTTTATTCTGGCATTGCAGTTGGCTACCTTTGGAGGCTTAAAATTAGCACGTTATTATTGTTTCTGAAGACCCTTTAGACTTTGACTCCTACCTACTGGAGAAATTTTGATTTCTGTTTATGTACTTGCTCATAATTTGGGTTCTGTTTCCAATCTGTCACTTGCTAAACCATCTGTGCCATCTGGAATGTGCCAGGCCCCAATTTGGGGGGATTCTCTTCCTTATGAAATTCATGAGATTCAGCCTGCAGATGCTTTCACTGCTTCTCTGACAAATTTAGTTAATTTGGCAGCTTTGAGGTTTGCATTTTTCTCAGTTTCTAGGGCTGTATTTGTTACTATGCTATAGGTGCTGGGGGGTCTATGGAACACGTATACACTAGAAACCATCAAGTATCAACAGCTTTGACATAAAAGTTAACACAAAGATTTGGCTAGTCAAGATCCTTATGAGCCATTTTTTCTCTTGTGTGCCATAAAATCAAGGGAACTTGAGAGTGCAGGTATAACATAAATGAAATTCACAGCTGAACAGAAGGTCATCATCAAGTTTATGTTTCATATCAAGCAGCACTGCTGACACAGCATCCTGGAAGAGCTGGAATTGCCAATACTCTGCCTCAAATATTCCAGAGAGTTGAAATCATAACTTACCTATCAGCAAATTAAACCCTGAAAGGTTTTATAGATAAAGAACCGTTGCTGCTGAGTAACAAAAATATACTGGAGATCTAGGGATTTGACTTTGATGCTTTGCAACCAACTTGGTGAATCCAGTAGGTTGATGAAGGCTAATGAGTCTGGCCAGGCTTTTGGTGGATTACCTGAATGACTCCATGTTAATCAAAATATATTGCACCAACTATGGGTAAAATGGAAGTAAACAGAGCATTTGCGCTTCTAAATCTGGCGTTAGAGAGGTTACTCACTTATCAACATCTAGGCTGAAAGATCTTACAGCAATTCATTCTTTTTTTTTTCTATTATTTGATGTCTCAACTCTTTTCTGGTCACATTCAGCTCCTATAAATGAATGCATTGGTGTACAACGATAGAAAACTTGTTCCAAAGAGTACAGTGGTAACGTAAGACAAATATCTTTCTATTAGATTTCACTGAAAGCAAAAGGAATTTTTCCATTCAATTTCCCCCACTCTCCCAGACAGAAATTATCGAATGTGAACATGTGAAGTTAAGTATGTGAACATATATTCTAGCACCTTACAGAAGTCAGCCCACTGTCAGAAAGGTAATCCCATCCAAGTGGAAGGGATTTGAAGAAAATGAAGAAACCCAGGTAATGAAAAAACTGAAACCAAAAGGCACATAAAAGGCACAGAATCACAGAATCCTTAAGACTTGGAAGGGACCTTTAAGGGTCATCTAGTCCAGCTCCCCTGCAATTAACAGAGACAGAGCAAACACAGAAGGGGAAAATAAACAGGCATGGATGGCTGTGTTTTCTTCTCCCGCACAGGGAGTCTTGGAGCTGTACTTTGCATTATTAACAGCAAGCTAACTGCCACAGCTTGAAGCTCCCACTGAGGTGGGTGAACCTGACACCAATCCGTGGATGTATGCTGTATTTATATATCCTTGCCACCCCCTTCAGATGTCTTAGCTGTTCTGGTGGTTACAGTTGTGTTCAGTAATACTAAAACACACAAAGAAGCCATCTGAAGTTAAAAGGTTCTATCTGAATTTATATTTGTTGATTTCATTAATGTTAAAGTCTCCTTTGGAAGATGCAAAGTTCTGTGGCTTGAGTTGATGCCAACGGGAAACATCCCAGCAGGAAGACTGATGTGTGCTTCATCAGGATGCTGGAAGGAGTCTGTCTGCTGGCCAAAATCTCTCTCCTACTGTTTATAAAACACTATCTCGCTCAGCTAGCCCCCTTTTTACAGTTCATTACTGCACAGTCTTTTAAAAGAGTTGGCTGCTATTCAACCTCATGGATTCAGAGTTGCAGAAAAGCACCTTTCAGGGCATCTAAGCGTCCCTCCAACCTCCTGGCTACTCAAAGAACTAGGTAATATTTCACTAGGTCTTGTGCTTAGACATGCCCTATTCTTTTCTCCCCCGATAATCCCAAGTGAAAAGAAAATCCATCGATCCTGTGTACCACAAGTAATTAGAACTGGGGCTGCATATCATTCCGGTGAGTAGTGTGGGTCAGGATTTTAAACATGAAATGATTTTCAGTGGATTCAGCACTCTGTCTCAGCACAATGCAGCCTATAAACTGAAAATGCCTTTAAAAGATGGAGTTTTTATTCTTCATTGTCTTCAATTAATGCTACTATAATTTAGAAACCAAGCTGATATTTTTTGTTTGTTGGAAGCCAGAATTACATTGAGAGATATCACCATTGTATGTGCAATTACTTTTAATTCTCCTAACAATTTTTACGATTCCTTTCAAATAATTTGTCTCTCTTGTGTATTCATATTTTCACTTTTCATTGCAGGCATTTAATTTTTATTACCACAAGAAAGCATTCTGAAACCCTTTTATGATGAGTTTGTTTAATTTATCTAGTCATTAGCCTGTGATGAAAGTGATGCCTCCAACAGATCAGTCAAAAACCTTCTACTGGCAATATATACAGATCTGTTGTGAGGGGTTAATCTTTTATTAGATTACAGTTACTCTAAAAGCTGGTATTCAGTAGTTTAATAGCTTTTCTTAATTCTAATCTTCTGCACTCTAAGAAATAGATAGAAGTAGAAGGTCTTTGAGCTTTAATGCAGTTGCATGGTTTCCTTTGGTAATTATTTACATTTTTATAAATTAAAAATTCTTTTTTTTTTTTCCCTTTCCAGACAACTTCATCAACGTTTGAATAAAACATTTAGGAGTAATTGAGAGATACAAACTGTTTCTTGTCCTTACAAGATGGAAATGTAAATCTCCTTTCAGAGCATGTACTTCTCTTGGCAATGAGCAATGGTTTTGGGCTTGGAGGTCTCTGGTTGGGTCCAAGATTGGCCAAACCAAAATCGTTTGCTGGGGTCTGTTAGGAGTGTGCTTAAAGCTTTTGTGGCTTTGGTACAGTTGTTACCATAGTAAATGTTTTTGCTTACTGACATGATTACAAATTTTGATTAACAGTTTCATGTACAGCAGGAGGAACCTGAAATGAAACCAGCTTTGTAACTGTGGGAACCACACTAAAGAAAACCGAGGAAAACAGATGATATTTTCACGTAATTGGAATATGCTAAGGAGTAAAGAAATTGCTGATTCCTGAGGAATTTGCCAATTTTCTTTTCAAGCCTCTTTCTAATGCACTTACAAACGCATAAATTGTTCTAATGCTCTTTCGGTCATAAAAAGTGAATCTGTAGGGGAAGAACTGTTTTTCCTTGTCAAGTTGGGCACCCTGCCTCGTTACAGAAATGAAGACAGTCTGCTTCCTTCTCACCATGCCACCGTGATCAAAGGAGCAGGATGCGAAAAATTTCCTCGCTGGAACATGCTGTTATTCAAAGCCCTTTGTAGGCACCTCACAGCAAAACACAAGTGTCTGGTGCAAGATAAAAAAAGGCGTGCATGTACTTATTTATTCAGGATGGCATTTTGCATTCCAAAAAGAAACATACGTATGTATCTGCACATGTGTGTCTGTGTATGTGGTCTCTAAAACTCAATCTGTGGGCCTTCTCCTTCCCCCGGGGCCGAAGCTGAGCCCTGATGAGGACCTGTGCTGGCTGTGCTGGCTGCTGGCAGGGCTCTGCCATCCCTCCTCTGTCACCAGGCAACGCTATCAGCCATGCTGCACGTGTGCGCTGGACATTCATCACCACTTTGTATTTCCAGTTCTGCATTTTACTTTAGAAATGGAAGGTTCTTGAGAGAACAAGGTTTTCGTTGGATGTCAGTACGCATACCCAGCCTGCACACTCCAGCCCTGCTCCAGCCTCACTGGATACGCATCAGCCATTTGTTGCAGTGCAATTAAACTCTGACTCCCCCAGATGGGTGGGGGGAAGTGTGCAATGTCACCTGAACTGGGGACTTCACTATATGAATACGCTGCCATCCAGTAAGCTGCAGTGAGACCCTAGCTGGTTTCGATGTCAGGATTTGGATGTGTGAAGAGGCAGGGTGGTTATAAGATAACTCGGTGCATGACACGGCCAGCACGTGGTGATCCACCTGCAGGGATGGACACGTCGGAACAGATTTGAAAATGTTCCAGGAGGCACAAGACATGACTTCAGAAAGGGAGAATTATCTGTCATTACCCTGCCTATGGCTTCACTTTATTACACAATACTTCCAGTCTCCTACAAGAATCTCCAAGAAAGAATGTAGGGTATATGGCTCTTCTAATCCTCATAAATCTGGAATTAACCCAATTACAAAGAAGGGCCATCATTAAAAAGGAATGACTGTGCAACCACCTTTTCAACGTCACTGTCACTACACTGACAATTTAATTAAAACTGCAGTGCATTTAGTTATATTAGTTCCTATCAATACAAAAGATACAGATTTTTTTTTATTTAAATCTCACAATGTACTTCAGCACTGCTACGCAGTGATTACACCAACAGATTTTATCATTCCTGACGATACATGACTATCTCAAAATAAAATCCTCATCTTCACACGAGATTTTCGTGCCAGAATGTAAATGGAAATGACTAGGAACAATCACCTTAACCACAGAAACATGACTCTGAGTATATGAAGATCGTGTTCTTTATATCATACTCAACACTTCTGTCTTGTACACCTCTGGCTGATGAAGGGAAAGAAAAGAGAGAAGAAAAAAAGGAAGAAGGAAAGGAAAGAGGAAAAAGAAAACGGAATGTGAGGGAATTACAAGGTAAGCAAGTGAGAGATTAATTTTAAATTGATTGTACTTTTTTTTTTTTTTCTGGTCAGCAGAACTCCACTGTGATTCTGGTCTCGCACACTCAGGTGTAAAGCTGGAGCAGCTACCTTGATTCCTGTGGAGGTAGGAGGTACAAATGCACATCCAGTGAAAGCTGGTAGAGCTCTCCTTCAAGACTGAAAGTTCTCCTAAGTTTTTCAGTGATTCCTGACATCTTCTGTGGCTTTCTTCAAACATAGGAGAAGTGCAGAAAAAAATCGTCTCTGAAGTCAAGGAGATAGAAGCACACTGAAGGGGCAAAGGTTGTCTTTGACCTCCAGCTCTTTTCTGATGTACTAGTCTCTCTGAAATGTGAAATTCAGATTTGACCTCTGTCTATTTTCCTGCCAAGCACCTGACTTGCAGTCCTTATCAGACAGAAGGAAACAGCAGAGTAAGACATTGAGTAGTTTGCATGAAATCAGATAATGCTTCAAGTGTCAGCAGGTTGTGTTTGCTGAAGCAAAACCCAGTTCTCCTGAACTGCCATCATGGCACCTAGAAAAGAACACATGCAACTTAAAAGCTGAACGATGCACAAAAAGCCAGTGTTGGCTGGGAGGAGGATCTGGGGCAGAAAGCTGACTAGAAGGTTAAGCTGTTATCTGCCAGCGTAACCAGTGCCTCGTGCTCTAAATGATTATTGCTGTGCATGTAGAGCATGGCTGGAGGGTCCTGGCCACTGCCACAAGCTGATGGATGCTGCTGCCTCAGACTACTACGAGTTGGACTCGATGATCCTTGTGGTCACCTTCCAACTCAGAATATTCTGATTCTATACTAGTGCTGTCTTTACTGCCAAAGGCAACGTGAAGATAAGGTGGATCTGGCACCACCAGAACAATGGCATCCAAAAAGCCCACCTGTAGACTCATGCCTGTATCTTGCCAGACACCTTAACTGGTGAAGAACAAGAGGTGAAGTTTGCTGAACAGGAAGCATCATAGGGAAGGGGAGGGTTAGCTGCAAAGATAATCACCTGGGAGATGAGTTCTGAGTTTTGCTTTATTTGTACATGAAATTCTCATCAAAATGAGTTTTTTCTGCTGCTGCTTCTGCTGTATTTCACACTTTTTTTGCCTTTTTGGGAGCAGTGTGTGTCATCTCCCAACTGTTCTCCCCAGTCGGCATGTCAGCTGCTTGCTAGCACACTGCAGGCTACCAATAAGCATAACTAGCAGCCAATGAGACAAGAGCATCTTTGAAGATTCAGATGCAGTGCTCCCCTTGGGATGACTTGCTATTCCAGATTAAAAGCCCTTTATGAATCCAGGCAGGGAAACTTCAAGCAGCCAAAATACTAGATGAGTATGTTCACCCCGTGATGCAAGAATATCAAAGTTGCTTAGCTTCTAGAGCCAGATGAATAGCACAGGCAGAATAATTTGATTCATGCACCCTCTCAGTGCATCATTCCTTCCTTCATCACCTGGATTTTCATTTAAATGCTGTCTGATTTACTCAACTGCACACATCATCTGCAAGGTCACCCATTTGTCTCACATTTGCAACTGAATGTCCCTTTCTGACCTTCCTCTCCCCAGTTCTCTCTCTGCTCCCCAGGTAAACAAGTGGAGCCCGAATCTGGTGGTGTTGGATGCAATTTGATCTCAGCAGGATATCTCACTGTGCTCGGTCACACTGACCTGTTGCAGATTGGTGTTTATTATATTCATTCACACTTAGGAAAGTAAGTAAACAAAGAAACTATTCCCCCCAGAATGTAACTCAACATCCCAAAACAATTATGGACTAATTATAAACTGATTCTGCATGTAGGACAATTGAATGTTTAGTGGAAGGACAATTACCACCCTGGAAATCACCACTCTGCATTTCTTATTAGCACCAGAAGCAAGATATCAGGCATGGTGAAGACATGCTGCTCTGCCAAAGACTGAGAAACACACTTGGTTGCAGAAAGCTTGTGCAAGGCTGAACCTCTCAATGCAGAGCTGGCAGCAGGGCTCCTGCTACAATGGTGCTGGGATTGGATCTGTTTCATGAAAACGGGATGATCTTAATACAAAGTTATGCTGTGATGACTGCAGTCGGTGACAGAAATCCCGATAAACCTCAAGATGCTCTGGCTTTGGAAAGAGCATTGATGAAACCTTCTGCCTGCAGGAAGATGGTTGGCTGCCCAGTGTGGACGGAGCGTGCTGATGAGTAGGAGTTGCAAGAGACTGCAGAGCAGCCAGCGTAAGCCAGCACTAACAGGAGCTCCATCTGCAATGGCTTAATCCTGAATGCCCAATCAGAAGTGCTCCTAGTCAGAATTTGGTAAATATTTGCTAAAAGATAAATGAGACCAGTTTTTAACTCTCTCTGCATTACTCTTTTTTCCTTTCCAATTTGGAAAAGGAGAGAAAGCAGCTAAGTTTTAGGTATCATGGAATATAAAAAAAATAATAATCTACTTATGGTTTTTTTTTTCTGAAATGTCCCTCAGGTTTCTCTCTTGCTTCAAAACCTCAAGAAACTTTCATGTTTTCAGTTTTAAACAGGTTAGTACAAAATAATACTGACAAAATCAAAATTTTCAATGAAAAATGTGTTAAAAAAACCCCACCATTATGAAAAATATTATCTGAAAAATAGATCCTTGCTCAAAAAGAACAGATTCTGCCTGGACTTTCCATCATCCCATGCCTGGAGAGAACAAAAAATACTGCTTGAGTTTCTGGCCATGTAGAATTACCAGCTCTCCAAGAGTACTTATATGAGTATTTAGAGCTTCATTCAGACATAGTTGCATGGCTCCCAGTAGATGTGGTGAGTCACCCTGCTGATCTGCTCCAGAAGGAAGACCAGGGAACACTCAGGAAGGTGGCACAGCTGCAGGCATTCAGACCAATGCTGGTCAGAGCTCTCCTTGGCAGCACGACTGCACCTCTGAGCTAAACAGGTCTGCTTTTGCTTCGTCTCCTCCAAAGTTCATTAGCATTGCCCAGCCTTACGAAGCAACATTCTTCCCTCTCTTTCACTGCAAGAAATCCCAAATCAGTGTCCAGAATAGCTCCTGGGGTCTCCAGTGAGGTTAAATCATGACATACAGATCACTGGTCACTATCACAACTGAACCCAGTAATGGCAACGAGCATAAAGTAAGTCATCCTATATTAGCATTTTCTCTAGCTCAATGTAAGCTCCTCAGCCATCACCCCTTCTCCCACTACTAATGCCCCTGCTTATGTTTTCGCCTTTTTCCCAGCATCTCCTCACTACACTCTGGTGGGTTTGGTAATCACGTAAGTCACAGGGCGGCTCTACTTCATGTTAACCAAGAGTCTTGGCAGTACAAGCTTTTTCGTGTAAAGCATTTTTTCTCCTTCCTGCTCTAATTCCTCAGGGCTGTGGAGGAGTGGTGTTCACCGTGCTTGGTTAATTTTTATTAATGTGATCTCTCCCTTTCCCTGTACTGCTTACATGTGGGCGTGAAGTTGATCAGCGAAGGGAAAAGTAAAGTTACACATCATTTGTCTTCTCTTACATTTCCATTGATCAATCCATACAACGTTATCCGTTTTCCATTAATTTTCTATTTGTAGCACACCTTATTTCTAGAGCCACAGTTAGCAAATTGATTTGCTGCTCTTAAGCAGCAGTTTCCATTTGCAGCCTCAGAAGCGGGATTAACACAGCGCACTCGCCGTTTTGTCTCTGTCAGTGATACCTCACACAAAACAATTTTTCTGTTCAGTATGTTTGCTGATTGAGTTTTCCTCCTGGTACGACAAGCGCCATGAGCACGCGGCCCACTCCTTGGGCTCGAGGCCAGGTCTCCAGTGTAGGCACAGATTACAGCTTTTTGCAGCAGCATTGATAGGGTGCGTAAAAATCTGAGGAAACCAAAACATCTCCATTCCAATTCACACAGTGGCCGGTACATTGCCTTCACTGCTGTCACCCCCACTCCTCTACCAGGTTTTAAACAAAACTCGCTCAGAGACTTTGGGTATCTGAAGTGTGTTTCAATGTATTACAAGATAATCTGTTAATTCATCAGATTGTTCGGGCATAATGCACACAAATGATAGTCAGCATAAGAAACATTGCTGTTTTTCTATTAATGCTTTCACATAATGCTCTCTTCCCTCCTGAGAGTTGATTAAAATGTAATTTAAATTGCTCCTGTCTTAGAGCTTCGTTGTCTATTATCTTGAACGGAGTCAGAGACTCCCTATTGTGAGGGTGTTTAACAGCAGAACATCAACTGATCTCACTTCTGGTTCATCGCAGCCAAATTCTCCATCTTTCTCATATACCTGATCATGTTCATTACCAACAGACGACGAGCAAAGGTGATAGCATCCAAAAGAGACGAGCCAATAACCAACTGGCATTTTTGTTTTATTCAGCAAAAACCAGCACCAGCTACTGTTACCATCTTTTACAGTGGAATAATACTGCAACACAACAGAATGGGACCTATTGCTGCTGTTGCAATTCTTTTGCCCAAATTAAATACATCTCAGTTGATGTATATTAACTTCAAACACGCTTTACCACAATACATCACTGCAAAATATTGTCTGAACTTTCTGGCTCACTACATGCTGTTTAATCACTGGAAACTATTCTAAAAATGCACTGTGCTAAAATAACTGGTTTGAAAGGGAGGAGAATTTGCCACTTATTTAAATTTAAATTTAAAGACTTCTTTCCATTCTTTAATGAAAATAAGAAACATCTGGCAACTAAACACCTTCCTCAAGAAGGCCGTGAAGTAATACACTTTCTTGCTTATGTCAGTGCAAATTCTCCATCCAAGAGACAAAAACTGTTGCACCGAGCTCTCTCCTAATATACTAATAATTTAATGTCAAAGTAGATCACAGCACCGCAGTAGATAAAATGCAGTAAACAAAACTTTGTAACAGAAATCAGCAAGATTTGCAATACAGCTGCTTTCTTTCCCCCTTCATTCTGGTACTAAGCCAGAAATCTTTCTCCATTTTTCACGCTAGGTCTCAACACAGCACATTTCCACATCAATTTGGCACTGTAAATTAGCTAGGAAAAAGCAAAACCACAACCATTCAACATCACAGCTGCACCAATGCTGATCTCCACGACAAGGGCATCCAGTTTTAGCCAGTGTTAGTGCTCCATAGAGCAACCACATGAAATCTCATCTCACTTCTAAGCGCTTTACACCCCTGCTGTGCTTGCACCACATCCATGCAGCATGAAGAATGACGTGAAATCTTACCAGCTCTGAGAAACGTAATGCTTGCGTTCTCAATCTGACTTAGGGCCTTGTATTTACTTTCCTTGGAAAATATCTCACAGATGTGGAACAAAGCTACCTCTATCTCAATCAATTAAGCAGTACCTGGGAAGATCCCCAGGTCACGGGTTGCAGTCATTCATATTTTCCAGAAGCAAAAGCATTTCCAGGTGTGGGGCTCGCACTGCTTCAGTAGGGCTGCCACAGCAGCATGGTAGGGATCAGCCACACTGCAGCTCGCACGCAGGCCCTGCTCTGGCAAAGGGAAACCGCTGAGCTCAGGGGTGTCAGAGCCCTACAGCCCATTGCTCAGGATTGCTCCCAGGCATGTTTCGTTCACTAGCGTACATACTGGCATAAATAGTACGAAGTGCTCATGAGAGACTCAGAATAAGACTAAGACCAGATGGAACCACTTCCAGAGGTGCAATGTTAAATGAATGCTGAGTGGGAAGAGTGCTGGGAAAAACAAAGCCTGCCTGAGTGGTGGATTTCACACATGTTTACACTACTTGTGAACATGCAAAATAATAATTCTGCTTATTTATATCACCAAGAAAAGCCTTGGTCAACTGGACACTGTTGTAATCTAAATACTCTACCTTCAGATAGCTTTTCTGCACAACCGATATGCATTTCCTGATTAAAAAGGGATTCTATATTCCCAGCAGCAGGATCAGATGGATACAAAAAACATTTTGGAGAAGCCATGACCAAGCTCTAAGCCATTATTTATGAAAGAAGGCTTTCAGATGAGAGAGGTAATCACACAGCCACGAGCAGCGAAACAAACACGCATAAAGGTAGAGTTGTGTTTATGGCTGACAGAGCTAGTAGAAATTTGTTAAGTAGATTTAGCAGAAAGATGCCATCAGACAAAGATAAATTATCTCACTTGGCGTAGTATTAACTCTGCATTGTTATTGCTTAAAACATAGAAAGATGAAAAAATTCCAGGATTGCTTCAAGGGAAGTTGAAAGAACTCTGTGTTTCACCACAATGAAAGGAGATTTTTTTCCTGTTCCTTCAGGACCCATTATGTAGCATTTCTATTTTAATCTCCCAATTTGAAACCATTTACTTTGAACTTCTATATTCTATATTCAAAGATGGATTTTATTCAATTATTTTAAGCATTTACCCAGTTAGCCTAAGTGCATTTTCTATCACAGGCAAAAGGATTTGAAGAACTGTGTCAAGAGGGATCTTGAAAATGTCGTCATTTGGTTGTGCTGACCGAGATCCTGAACTAATTACACCTGACAAAGGAGACTCAAAATCAGATAGAGCATGAAAACTGAGAAACAAGCAAATTAAGACAAACATGCATGAGTTAAATGGATAAGTTTTTCCCACTTGCAAGCAATTATGATTATAACACAAGCAGTATGACTGTTGAATTATGCATCCGGTGTCGGTAAGAGCCACACATTCATTCATTAAGACTCCTGCCAACCTAATTCCCAAGAAAAAGTTTTTATCTTCACTTCGACTTGCATGAGTCTGTAGCAATTCTTACAACAGCAGTGTTTTTTGGTTTGGAACTCTAAGGGGCTTAATGTGGCTGCAAAGTTGAAATGGTGACCTTTTAGCAACACCTATGTAAATCAGGAATGCTGAAAAAGGTGGAGACCATGCACAACCCAACCTGACTCAAAGCACTAGAAGACTCTGGAAGCAAGTGCCTGCATCTATATTGGCAAACAGTGTGGTGCAACAGGTAGGTAGCTGTAAAGTGGAGAACATGTACACTACTTGTGTTTTGGGGGCTAGTTCTGATTAGCTCTAGTTTGGTTCTGCAGAATGAACACCTTAGGTGGCTGAGATACATCAGTGTGCTCTCAGGCTGCTTCTTCCACCTTTGTTTCACCTGCAGGGATGCAACTGGCTGCACACTGAGATTGCTCCTTGATGAGAACCAAAGTGCAGCGCAGGGACCAGGAAGGAGACACGCTTCTTTCTAATCTGAGCAAAAATGTGGCTGACCTCACGCAAACTGCCTGGTCTACATGAGAACTCCTCACTGCGGTCCAGAGTGCTATACCAGGATACACAGTAGAGTGCAGTACTCTGAAGCCACTTTAAGGGCAGCCACTTACGCTTTGGGCACTTGAGAAATCAAGGAACTTATAATGCTATTTGTCTACAGTCAGAAGATTTTAATACAGTTAATAGACAAAGGAAAAGATACTTAATGAAACAGGAAAAATTTCACAGAAGCTGTTAGCTTTGCATTCTATTTGGGAAGGTTCCTGCAGTAAAACACTGTAATTTCTGACATCTTCCCATCTAAACATCTCAGCAGATAACAAACAACCTGAAAGCAGACATCATTCATACATAGAGCTTATACACTGCTTTGTGCTCAAATTACAAGCTGCTTTGCATAGTTTTAAGCATGCAGCTCTCACTGAGTTCAAATGAGTTTCACATGACTGAACCATCATGAGCTGCTTAAAAAATATCCCCCCTGGGTCTTAAGCAAAACCTCCTTGTTTAAGTGTTGATTATTATTTTTTCTCCACTGAGATTAATTAAGATATTTAAGGAGCACAAGGGGAAAGGAAAAATAGGACTTGCTCATCTGATTCATTTTTCTGTGCATGCAGGTAATTTTCAGTTGTGGCCGAGATCCACTGGAAAGAGAAGTCAGCATGTACATGCACACCTCTGGTCACAGACTTTAAGGCAACAATGCTGGTTAGCTAACGGGAATCAGAGCTGAGAAACCGCAAAGACATTTATAATGAGGCACAGATCGACTCGCATGAATGCTGCTAGAAGCTCATGTTAGGCAGCCAGACACTAGAAAACACTTTGAAAGTGTGAACATGCTTATATTTTAACAGAAGTACTGATATTCTGGGAGCTCAAAACCACCTCTTGCTATTTGCAGATCTAAACTTCGTCTGCAGGATGAAGTCCACTGAAAAAGAAACCAAAATGAAAAAATGATATTCTTCCTTTGCTGTAGCATAAATAGAGGCAGATCTGAATACTGTACTCCACTAGCTGTAACAACCACACCAAGTTAGCCAGTTTACAGGACTGTGGTCCAGGACAGCAAATCAGCCCTGGAAAAACACCATTTAAGCTCAACTGCAGGTGAGCAATCAGGATCTAACTAACCTTTTTTTCCTCCCATGGGACTGATTTGCATGAGACTAATTTAAAACACAGAATAATACAGGCAGTGCATGAGCAGTTTAAAAGTTTATAAAATATCCTAATGCTCTCAGAACTCAGACAGCTAATTTAGATTTTTGCTGTGGATTAACTCGCAAGCAGTCCAAACTCGTCTTTCCATTAACCCATCTCGATTAGCAAGATCCTGACTGCCACATGAGGAGGGAGCTCAGATGTGCTCATATGGATTTTGAGGCTGAAGTGCCCCGATTACTGTTCTCCTTTGTGACAGAGGGTCCTTTTAAATAGCTTCACTAATCTGACGTACGGGTTAGATGGGGAGGAAAATCTTCAGTCACATCAGCTTAAGAACTAACCTCCAGGATATGCATTAATTGAGGCAGTGCACACTCTGACAGAAGCCAGGGCATGGTCTCAGGCAGACTTTGAAGGCTTAGATCTCCTCCCTCTTCCTTAGACACAAATGATCATGACATAGTAGAGCAATTAAAAAAAAACCCAAGTACCCAATAGAGGGGAGACAAAACAATAAAATACTATTGAAATGTAATGCCTACTTATAGAGGCATTCAATTAATCAGTTTCTGTGCACATGAGGTAACATTAAATACCGTCCCAGCAGGCTATCCAGTAACTTTGTGAGTAATAATTACAGCTCCCAAGAAGGACACAGCAGGAATACTGCTTATCCATCAGTGTGTGACTCTTTGTACATGCCCACAGGATAAACTTTCTTATGCGGAGGAGAAAAAACCCGCATAAGGGTATTCCAAGCTTGCTCTGATACTGAGCCAGAGGTCTATAGTAGGTCTGCCTTCATCCACTGCAAAAGACCACGATGTGATAACAGGCTTCAGAATATTTTCATATGGGCCTAATCAGGATATGGTGCTGAATGGATCATTATTTGGACCTGATAATGCCATTTTATCTGATGATACAGCACAATCTACACAAGGGACATTCAGCTGGTGGCTGTTAACAACTTCTGAAGCAGAGGCTGATGCTCAGAAGCACCTCAAGTGGACGACCAAACTGAAAGAGACCAGAGCCTCCATAAACAATAAACACAAACTTGTTGGTGTGTTTCACTACACAAAACTGTCTCATGCAAATTCTGGGTGAATTTTTTGAAAGAAGCAGCAACACTAAGTGACAGACCTGAGGCAGACCTACCTCAGTGCTGGGAATGACAGTGGGCAGGGAACGATGCACCACTGCCGCCTGCAAGGCCTCCACCCCAATGGTCAGGAGAGGGCCCCCTTCTGCAGAAGTGACCAGCATGCACCTTCATGAACATGGCCATGTCTTGAGGAACTGGGCAGATACTGGAACATAACCACTCTTTTTAGTTTGATTTTGTGTGTGTTACCCAGTGGTTTCATCAAGGAATTTTGCTCCACTCAAACTCCGTTACAAAATACTTAAATAACACAACATCTGTGTAAAACTGTAGATTATTTAAAATACAACGATTCATACAATTTGGACACTATTGCTTGCTTGTTGAGAATTTTCCCAATTTTTTACTTCATTTTTTCAGAGCTTCATTCCATGCTTTCATGGCTTCCACGTTAGTGAGCAGCCCAGGAAGATGAACAGGGTAGTTCCTATTTGGTCAAAGACAGCATTTCAGGCTATTTGCAAACTTAGGCAGAGACAAAGCCTATCATCCATACAGACAGTGCAGCAGGCACTGAAGAATCACAGAATCACAGAATCACCCGGGTTGGAAGGGACCTCAAGGATCATGTAGTTCCAACCCCCCTGCCTAGCAGGGCCACCAAACGTACACATTCAGATCAGGTTGCCCAGGACCCCGTCCAACCTGGCCTTGAACACGTCCAAGGACGGGGCATCCACAACCTCCCTGGGCAGCCCGTTCCAGGGCCTAACCACTCTCCTTGTAAAGAAAGGCCACACATTCCCCCCTTTTCCCAGTGAATGACTGCAGCTTGCACACAAAAAGGAGCTGTGGAGCAAAATGATGGAGCACGGGTTTGTGTTTCGGACCTTGGCACACGCACACATTGTCTAGTGTATGTACAAACCAGTTCTCTTACCAGCTTCCTAAAGGCCCCATGGAGTAGACTAGATCAGGACCCTCTTAAAAATGAGAGCTAGTTCTCGCCAGTGTGAAGAACAGTGGATCCTCGCTCAGGTCTCCCTCCAAGAGAACTCCAAATCAGCACAAGCACAGCCTCTAGTACAAGATACTGCTCCTGAGCTGAACTGGCTTTCATTAAATGAGCTGTCTCACAGCCTCTGTTGACTTGGGAATTTAAAGACTGATGGAAGCTGGAAACAGCTGCAACTCCCAGAAGTGAGATCTTGTTATGATGAGAAATGGAGACTTTCTGGTGAGAACAGTGAGCCAGGAAACCTTCCTGCAAAATCCAGCTAGCAAAATCCACACGTGTACACGTCTCTGTTAGAAATCATCTGCCATCTGCATAGGCCAATGATGAGATTACAAGGAGGGTCAGCATGCGGATCAGGGCTGCTTCAAGCTGCCACAAAACAGAGCAGGAGACCAATTACCCCAAAGGCTTTTCCACAGCAAGGTATCCTGTTACACAGAGGCCACATTCTTGAGCTTTTCCCACAATTTTTAAGGCTAGAAAGTATCTCAGAGACTTAAACTGAGCCCCTGAAGGACAATTTTTGTAGCTGAGGGTAAATGCAGCAGGTGCTGAATTTGCTCACTGAAATGCATGGTAAAGTCATATACAAATAAATTGCCTGTTCAGACATGTATATTCTGGGTTATTATTTGGACAAAATCTCACAATCTTGCCCTTTGTCAGGCACCACCTGGTTCTTTTACACTTCCCACTAAAAATAAAATAAGAAAGAAATGACCTGACAGTGGGAAGCAAAACACAATTAGTTTGCTGCTGGCTTAGAGAGGACAATCGTTCCACAAGGTGCATCTGTTCAGTGCATCAGGACTGAAGAAATCACAAGGCACGGGATGGAGACACCTACCCACACCAGGCAGTGCTTTCATTCAAATTTGTGCTTTACTCCCACTGATGCCAACAAGGTGGAATTATATATTTAGAATTTACTGATGTAGAAGACACATTCTGCTGAGGACCAAATTTATTTATGTACATACATATCCAGAAATGCATACTGGGCAACCCCAAAACAGCTCCGTTTTCAATATAAGCAGTAGCTAGCAGCACCTTCTCTTTTCTGAGCTCCGAAGGATTATGGCACATAATATGACAACAATAGCAGAGTTTTTTCTGCCGATATAGATGACTTTGCAGCAGGCACCAGCAGTAGCATTTACTTTCACCAGAGATGAAAGCAGCTTAATAAACTGCATCTGCGTCAGTGCAGCACGATGCATGTGTACAGCATTAGAGAACAACAGGCAGCACAGCAATTGATGAGTCAGGCAGCAGAATTATGGTTGTGCTAAAGGAACTGGCCTACATTCTTCAAGTAGAGGTCATATCTCCCCAATCATTTATAAGCTTCAGTTAAATTAGCTGATTGTTACAATGTCACTTCTTGGGCTTATGATCTGTTTACATAATTATCAAGTTGCATTAC